TTAATAGGTAAATATTTCCACGTGTAAATATTTCCACGTGTAAATATTTCCACGTGTAAATTAATTTCTGAAATCATTTAGGAATCGAAGTGGAAACAATATGTGGGAAATAAAGTTTTGAAAACAACGGCTTTGGAGTTAAGCGGAATTACTATTGGAAATGAACCGGCTGCCTTTAATCCCTGGATGTTTAAATGCACTGGAAGCTTACTCACCGGCAGAAACAGCACACAACCCTAGGAATCACCGCTATGGTCTTCTCTAAGATGGAGATTACCTTGTATGAGTATGAGTAGTACCTTGATATTTGTAAGAGCTGCATCTTTATTTTGAAGAGTTAAAAGCTGTTTTGAAATGAATTTATATCATCTACAATTGCTTCAAATGGTTTAGCAAATTTATTTTTCTAGACACTGGATTTACGTTTAACGCTATTAATTAAGAGTAGAAGGTTCCCCTTCTTATAAGAGCATTATGCTCCTGTATCAAGAAAATCCTCTTTTCCACTGTACCTACACTCACATAAATCGGATTGTGCTATTAAAGTATTAAAAATACTCTGTGCACGGTTTATTTTGAATAGCATTCAGTCGTTAAATTGTAAGCTGCAAAAGTAGATTTTCATGCGTTATGTCTTAGAACCTTAATAAATATTATGTAATCTGCAACAAAGCCTGGATTCATACGAGATTTCATATTTTGACATTTCATTTTCATATTTTTATGAATAGAAACCGAAATAGGGCCCAAATAGGCTTCACATGGTAGGTGAAAGGGTCTGAATAGGCTACGCTCGAGTGATTATCAAGCGTATATCGTCGTCGTAGTGGAAGAATTAAATAAATAACTAAACCGATTTTGTCGTTTTTTTTTCATTATAAATGAACATACCGAGAAAACAAGACAATTTACCGTCGATCGCGTACACATTACAGTGTAATTTTAGTTCTGTTCATAAATTTGACACATTTAATTGCAAAATAAATCTGGCATACATCATCTGTACTAGTATTTGCAACAAACAATGACAACATCATCAATGGATACATATTTTTGTAACTTGAAAATATATACATCTTTTTGGAGTCGACTGTACAACCTACTACACCTACCTACGAAAATAAATAAAGAGTTATTGGTATTAAATATGTAAAGTTTGTATTTGTAATTCAAAATCTTTCGAAAGCTATATCAGGTGCTCCCAATAATAAAAGGTACTAATCAATATCCAAATCCACGAGTTGGTATAAATAACTGTTATTATTATTACCAAAATACTCCTGCCATCTGTGTTACACTTGAGTAGTTAGAATATTGTGTTGCCTCAAGCATTGTCTGTTTGCATTATTAAAATAAAATACGACTTCCTCTTCCCGTTTTGCTAAATACACTTGTTTTATTTTATTCGCTTCCTATATTTAAGTAAAAGCTATTAGGTTATGGGCCCAGAGCCCTATAGGGCGGTTTCAGACTATGGCGTTGTTTTCGTCGGTCGTTTCAGCTTCGGCATACGCGCTATCACGCGCGCTAAATTACGCGCTTCAAAAATTCGTACCTGCATACACGGGCATATTTCGGCGTGTTCGCTCCAACTGGCAGTGGTGTCTCTCACGGCTCGCGCATATACGAGCTTACAAGCGCGTAAACTTTAAAATTAGCTTATACACGCGTATAAAACGCTAGTCTGAAACCACCCATAGGGATAATTGTTTTATACAACAACTAGTTTCTAACGATAGTATTATATCTGGACTTTTGATATTTCGTCGCAGTGAGAACAGTTAGTTGCATTATGTGTCGTGTTGAGTAAAACGTAATGGCGTCTAACTAAACTATGTGGTGAGCGTTCCAAAGCTAAAGGGACGCGAAAACTACAGCGAATGGTGCTTTGCAACAGAAAATTTCCTGTGTTGGAAGGTAGGCTAGGGTGCATCTAGCAGGAGCAATATTAACCAAGAGTTGAAGCAGTAGCAGATACCAAGACCAGCGCTAAGTTGATCTTAACAATAGATCCATCAATTTACGTACATATAAAATAAGTAAACTGTGGGATGATTGATATCATTGTATGATGATTCAGATTATACAAGAAGAATAGGCTTACTGAGAAATCACATATCAATATGGCTCGAAAACTGTACTTCAATGATAGATTATGTTACAAAATTAGTGAATACCAGTAAGAAACTAGCGGGAACAGGATTTACCATATGTGACGAGTGGATTGCTTCATTATTACTGGCTGGATTAACCGAAAAATTATCGCCTATGATTATGGCCATTGAGCACTCGGGCATGTCTATTACGACCGCTGCCATTAAATCTTAATTATTTTTTATTATATTTGGTACATTCCGTGAAAATCGGTGGAACCCATGTATGAAAATCGAAAAAGCTCATAGTCATGCCACAGAAAGCGGATATACCAAATGTGCACGAGATGATCATACCGTCCAGGTGGCCAATCGCTGAACGACATTCCTAAGGCTATAGCTATCGCTTACGATTTAATTATTTTTTTTGCCCGCTCACCGCCAAACCGTCGCCTTGAAATGCCTCGAGCTCCTTTTTTTGCATTGGTAATAACAATATTAAAGAAAATGAGCGTAAGGTATTTGAAAACCTTCGGGGGTCAGAAATATCAAAATGGAATCGTAAACGAAAGCGATAGCCATAGCAATCCCGTTAGGCAATTGACCCCCTGTGGTGCGTGCTATTGCGATATTACCTAACCTCTCAATTATCATAAACTTAATGTAATACTAGACAGAATGCTACTACTAGATAGAAGTATATCAATAGAAAAATTTACTAGAAAAATTTCGACTCGGTCCAGGGGGTCTACTCTTTTTCTCCGAAACGAACTTTCGATAACGAAGTTCAAACGAAATTTAATTTCGTCAATTTAAGGTTATACTCAATATGAACGATAAACTATCAAATTGAAGCTTTCTTTGAGTAGGCTTAGAAAATCTACACCTCAATCTATATTCCGACGACGAATATTATTATAATTAAAAACGAATCAGAAACATAGTAAGAAAAGTGCAAAGTTTCGATCGAAATTTCGTTTTTCGTCGAATTAGAGTAGGCCTCCAGGTGTCACATACGAAATTTTTACAGCTACGAGAGACCAACTACATAGCGTACTATAAAAACTACACAACCGCTTATTACACTACGCGGAGTGCTGATTCTGATTATCGTGTGCAAAATTCAGTTTAATACAGCCTTAGCAACTTGATAAAATAATAGTTTATTATATTAAACTGCTAGATTTTTATAAATCTATAGAATATTTTACCAGGAAAAAATCTAATTGGTAACAGACAGGATGTCCTGTCTGATGCCTGGATACAGTGGAATTGCACTCCTATAATATTTAATTGTAAAATACACACATCAAAAAAGTCTAAGCAACATAATTTTCGAAAACTACGAATTTTATCAGTTAACTAGCGGCCGCCCGCGACTTCGTGCGCGTTGAGTTAGTTATTTTCACATACTTTTTGACCCCGAAAGGGGGTTTATTCCTAAGGATACATTATGAGCACATCTTTAGAGCATACATGTTAAATTTCAAGTCTGTTACTTCAAAAACATAGGACTATCATACAAACTTCCTACCCCCTTAGGGGCGGAGTTTCGTGATAATATGTAGCCTATGTTATGACCCGCCTTCTTATTATATTTGTGCCAAATTTGAAGTAAATCCATGCAGTACTTTTTGAGTTTATCCCGGACATAGATACAGATAAAGAGACGAAAATTATATTTTTGGCTTCGATATCGATTTGTAGATCACATCCCAAGTATTCTTTTAGAAAAATATTCAATAATAATAATAATAATAATAAACACTTTATTGCTCACATACAAAAGGACATAGGTACAAACAATACATTAATAACAATAATATTGGCAAAGGCGGTCTTATCGCTACAAGCGATCTCTTCCAGACAACCTTCGCGGTATAGGTAAGCTAAACGGAAAAGAAGATGTAGTAAGCCAGCAGAGTCGATGAGAAATGTAATTAATATAATATACGTACATATAAGTAATTGTCTATCATACACTTACATATACATATTATATATATATATACTAGCTGACCCAGCAAACTTCGTACCGCCCTAAAAAAATAGGGGTTGTCTAGCGGGCAAAATTGTGAATCTAAACCATTCTCAGATCCCCTTGAACACACACAAAAAATTTCATCAAAATCGGTCCAGTCGTTTAAGAGAAGTTCAGTGACATACACACTCACAGAAGAATTATATATATATAAAGATACACATACATACCACATATAAATATATATAATTAAACATAAATATATACCTACATACTAACAACATATGTAATGTTAAAGTAGACTAAGTTCGCAGCAGAAGGAGAGTATGTAATCTACTTTTGAATATGGGAAGTGACTTTTTTTCAATATACAGTTTTATCTTTCTTACCATTTTATTATATGTATAGATAATTTTATATTATCATTATGAAATGTATAATATATTCAAAGGTTTTTCTGCTCACTAATAAATTAAATGAGTTTTTATTAACAAAATATTATAGAAACATTTAAAATCAGTCAAAAATAAAAAAAAAACATCTTGCTTTGACTCTTTTGATGAGTATAATATTAAACCGAGCGAAACTCAAAAGACATTACACTCCTTTTAATGTAAAGAAAATTTTACTAGAGAAATTCCACGCGGTCCAGGCAGCAGACGGGACGCGTACCCTAATTAGTCAGTGCATCCGTCAGGATAGCGGGGCGTGGGGGAGCGAGTCCTGTTTGTTGTATGAACCACGTGCCTATTTTTCTTCTAAAATTTTCTATGCATTTAAACATCTAGCAGTCAAATGCTTAAAAAAATATATAAGCAGTCGTATGCAAATACTCACCAACAACACTCAGATGCACCCTTCGCACCAACGGCGGATGAGTGGAGATCTGGCATTCGTAGTATCCTTCGTCCCGCTCGCTCACGTACTGTATGAGCAGCCGCCAGTCGTTCGGGTGCTCGAACGCTAGCGAGTAGCGCGAGTCGGCCGAGTAAGTGTGGCGACCGAACGAGAGTAGGTGCAATTCTTCGCCTCGCCTACGAACCCAGGATATCTAGGGAAGGAATAACACATAATTAAAGCAAATAAGCTTGAAACTTTTTTTTTTTCTGAAATTCTTTGTATCGTTGTTAACATTATAGCCTATTGATGTCCACACTGTGACCCACAGTTGCGAAAATTGCCTTACTTTCACGGTTGCAGAGCAAACGTGCTAACCAACTTCACCATCGAGCTCCTCCTCGTAGTATACTTCGTTCCGCTCGCTCATATACTATACGAGCGAGCGGGGCGTCTTATAAATCTATGAAAGACCGGCTGCACGCACGAAAAAGTGTTACGTCATGTCACGAGTTAGTTCATCGTTCCGTTGACCCGTCCGTAAATTAACTTTACAGACAACCATTTTTTTTTTCTCAATTTGTTTGTAGCATCATCAGCACAGCCTACTAATGACTCCACTGCTGGGGCACAGGGCTTCCCTAGGAATGTAATAGGCAGATTGAGCCGCCACGCGGGTCCTTTGCAAATTGGTTAGGAGCCAACGACTGCAGATGCAGCCGTGCCCAATGTCTTAACGTGCCTTCCGAAGCACGGTACGGAGATAATTGGTTTTTGAACCGACCATTACGAAAATTGCATAACCTGTACGATCGCAGGCCAAACATGCTAACCCACCTGCGCCATCCAGCTCCTCCTCGTGTGTTCATGAGACGAGTGGCGACCGACGAGAGCATTTACTCTTGTTCGGTCGCCACACGTCTCAAGAAATCTACGCCTCGCTTACTACCCCGCGTATCATTCGGTTTCAACGTTTTTCGTGTTTTGAATGTTTTTTACTTTGCTGGCACTTGGAATTGGTAGTATAGTATTTGCTATTTGTAAAATTTACAGTAGACTCTTATTCCCTATTGAGCATAATAAAGAGATACTGCTGCCAAATGTATGTAAAATTATCAAATATAAATAGCTAAGTGCAGTTCTGGCATTAGCTAGGGTAGACTTCAAACTCGAGTTTATGATAACAAATTTGAGATTAATGTCTGGTCTGCACAAAACATAAAATTAGGGATACAGATTATTTATTAGTACCATGTTTTTAAAAAAAAATTGGAAGCTTGATATTCTCTTAAATACAAGAATTAATTGGCGTACATATGTATGAGGGATCATTAATTACGAAATCCACATCTTTGCTGATTTTATTTTTGGGTTAGCTGGCAGTCTGATATTTAATTATATATTTTTATCAAATTCAGTCCCAACGTTCTATCTACAAGTATTTGCAGTTCATTTAATTTTCTTAAATTTCATATCTCCATGCTTTTTAAGAACGATTAAAACAAAAGAACCAAGAATACCTTTAAGTTTTATTTCCTCGCTTCTCCGCTCCGCTTATAACTTAGCTCGCGGTCTGAAAGCCTGGAGTTTATCACTAATATTTACCGAGACGACTCAGCATCGTGTGTACGGCCGGCTACTGACACAGAATTATGACTGTCAGGACAGCCGCTTAACAACCTACTCTACACAAATAACAAGCAACCACTTTATTAGAACGCTTGCAATAAATATTAAGGCAACTGTTAGTTGTGTTAAGCATGTTTTCTGTGTTATAAATATAGCAGTATTTTGTGGAATTATGTTTGCTCTTTAGGTTACATACCAAAACGGAATAGATAATTCAGATGATTAGAAAGAAGGTGTGTTACCTGAAGTGAAGTTCGATCGTAATTATTTTGACTTCAATGAAGAGATATACTCTTAACTATTTATCAATAAAAATATAATCAATTGCAATTATGTAGTTCTCTTTTAACTTAATCAGGTATATTGCAATTCCTTGTCAGGTTCTAAAATGAGTCTAGTACCGTTGGACCCTAAAGATTCGATCCGAAAGAAAAAAAAACCCATTGGACATCAATTATATGACCCATTGGACTTTCTTAAAAAATATATAGGTCTGCAGGTACTAGTTTAGAAATATGCCTTGGAAGGTATAACAATATGGTTTTTGTTATCAATGTAATAAGTAAAACAAAAATTAACATATAAAGGACATTGGGCAAAAATGTATGAGCGCTGCACCCACGTCCCGTGGCGGACGTGGGTGTTAAACTACATTTGTTTGAAAGGTATTATAGTCATGATCATCTGTGCCTAAGCACATCAAATTCCATCCCGGGGGTCTTTAGTTATTTTAAGTTAAATGTGTACAAGTACTATAACGAACGAACATTAATGAAACAAGGGAATTAACATAGTTAGTTCGACTCTACATAGGGTGCTCTGGAATTATGGGAGTACTTCACAAGGTGCGAGGGTGCTCCCTTATGTTATTCTGCCACGCTTCGGAGAACACATGATTCCACTGCATCCATATTAATTGACAAAACCGATAATCGTGTTCCAATATCCAAAGCATGTTAGATAAAAAACAATCAAGAAGCAGGTAGTGCACAATCACAACGAAGTAAGAAGAGTCGACTATTTGCAACTGCAAGTCCTTGATCATCCGTAAACCGTTTTGAAATGTCTCAGTAAGAGCAAGTGCAGGATGGTCGGCAGGCTTTGTCGTATATCTGGTTGTATAGTATGATATGGCATATTATTATGATTACTAATAATATAAAATGAAGGTATTATAAAATGAATTTATTCAGCTACTTAAATATGTGTCATATCTGTTGACTACCAGGATATTTTTTACGGTGTCATATCTTTTGACTCCCAGGATATTTATTTTTGGTGTCATAATAAAAAAGGCTAGTTTTTCATAGATCTATCGATTCATACTAATTACATTGTTGGCGGAGCTGGGTGCGTTTTGGCCATAGTCCTTTAATGTAAGAGATATGAATATTATTTTAATTAATTATTATACCTACTAAACATGTCGTAATGAACATTTTATTATTTATTTAAAAAAAATGTTATATCTGTAGGAAGGCCAAAGGGGAAGATCTTCCTCCGAGCTGGGTGATGTTAGCTCGGGGGCCGCGGCCCGACTGATGTTGGTCGGGCATCGTATATATGAAGAGTTAGCTTCCGAATTTCATTTGCGCGATGTAGGCTTTCATACTATTATTGATCGCAGTGCAGGTAACGCCATCTCTTGAGGATGGTGAGTATTGTTTTCCTACATCCGTTGTATATCTGTGGGGCATATAGATGTCGCCGCCACATATCTAATATTTTAATTATATATATTTAATATAATATAACATAATTAAACATCTGTTCCAAAGAGATCTGAATTTGCTTTTAAACCTTTTGTAATATTGGAGGTGAAGGTGTTACATTGACAACAATACTGTTGTTCTCGGTTAATCTAAATATAAATCTGCTAAGCAAATACTATTAGTTTTCATTATTGTAATGAAGGCAGTCTCTCGTTGATTATTATAGATACTTAACTAAAAGTTTGTAGTAACCTTATTAATGACGCTTAACCATTAATGAAGCCAACCAAGAGACTAAAATAGTTTGCAAAGCCTCTCTAATGAATGAACAATCAGAACTTCCCTGAAGATTCTAAGATTTATGACTTCTTAATAACTTGAATGTATATTGTTCTTATCTTACAGTGTAACTAACATTACAGTAATTTAAGAGATTGCTACCTTCTACCTTGTTTTTTGCGAGTCTCTGATCCTTATTAAACATTGGTTTCTCATATAATTTTAACCCAATTACTTCTTCTACCAATATCAAGGACAAGATCTCTCAGGAATGCACTGGAGAATCAAGATCCAGTTGTGTTTTAAGTTTTGCAAATATGATTTCAAGTTTTTTTTTGTACTAACCTTTTCAAGGTTGCACATGCTCTCATCTTTCCGAGATTGCTTATTATAACTAAGCAGTATTGCGCAAATCTCATATTGAAAGTCTTCGTCAAGAACAAGGGTTAGTTAAATCTGTGACTCCGAGTCAGGTATGTAAAAACAAGTCATAAAAAAGCTTTTTTTTTCTAGTAAACTTTTCTTTAGATTTAAACACATAAAAGTTAAATGCTTAAAAAAAAATGTCATAAAAAAGTCATGTTGTTGTATAGTCCGGTCATATACAATGTCAGGTATCTGACAGTCTTCATGAAATCTGATAATTTATAATGGAATATTACGTAAACAGCATTTTACCAACTTAGACAGTGAGAAAGCAAAAAGTCCTTCACCCTCCGAAGATCAAGAAGACGTTACATCTGTGGTGGTTTTCCACCGCATAAACGTTGGTCCATGTCGCCATACAGCCAGTGTCTATGGACATTCCGTAGGCACTGGCACATTAGAAAATAAGTTTGTATTTGTTTTTATAATTATGTTTGTTTTATATTTTCGGTTTGGATTTATATTTGTCATTGTAAAAACAGACTTCAAGAGAAAATTTCGTTTTAATAAATACCCCGTTCTGTAACCCACAAGAAAAGAGGTATCTATGTCCCCAATATGTCTTCTATTGTCTATTAATATAATTATCATTCAGAACTGTTATATTATACAAATAAAATCATAATTATAGTGTCCTTATTCATTACATAACTAGGTTTGTTTTATTCAAAATGTAAAATTTATTACGTCAATACGATCACTGCATATTGGATCCCGGAGCGTGAGTTATCATTTATATGTTAGTTTCATTCAATCTTTTTAATCAGCTAATACTTGCAATTTTAGTTAAAATTTCATAAACCTAATACCTAAAGGAGACTTACATTAAGATGTTTTTTTCAATAACTTATTGACCTTTCCCCTACAATTTTATAATACATACTAGCTGACCCAGCGCACTTCGTACCGCCATAAAAATAGGGGCAGGTGGTAGAAGAGAAAATTTAGGGTTGTATGTATTTTTAATACCACATTATAAAAAAAAATATTGTCCAAAAAAAGTTTAGGGGTGTGTAACGTAGTGGTGTTACTCCTAACACATATGAGAACACTACGTTACAATACCCAATAGTTTGAATTGCAGGAAAGGCGCATTGTAGGTTTCAGAACACTGCGTTACAGGTGTACAACCATTATCACTTAAGGATATGAAAAATAGATAGTAGCC